AGCGAGGAAGGGTGGCCGGTCAGACCGCTCTGTGACAACCTCTTGCTATTATCTTGTACTTACAAACCTGACTCAATTGTTTTTTAAGTAAATATATATATATAAACTTAACAAATGGCGTCTGCAAGAGTTAGAATCCCAGATTTCAAAAGATTCAAATTACTTTTCTTCTGGTCTGCAATAATACTGGCATTCGCAGGTGTGGTAATTAATATCATGTTATGTTTATGAATTATAAGTATGTCCTCGCTTGCATTGGTATAAGAAAGAACATGCAAGGATGCACCAGAGGATGCAAAACCCATTATTCTGTAAAAAGTTTACATCGATTACCTTGATATTTCTCCAAGGCGGTTTTCATGCCTCCACAATAATCAAAAACATCAATTGCAAATCAAGAAATGTAAGTACAAAATTTATCCTTAAAAGCGATCCTTTCACGTTCTCCATATCTTAAAGCTGTGTTGCATGTAGCATTGTCATCTTAGCACACCTCCCGTGCCATATGCTGCTCCGCCTCTCCCTTGTGACAGTAACGTAACAGTTGGGTGTGACTGACTTGCACTTGCAAGTAGTGTAACGTTTCTATAACATCCTCCCACCCCTTCCCCTCCCCTCACTTTGTACAGTGAGGGGGAAATGAGTTTTGTGATTGTATTCTTTGTTTGTGTGTGAGCGAGTTAAAGGGGCACTGCTAATGTATACTTTGCTCAATTTTGAGGACAGTCTCGGTTAAAAGGATTTGTGTGGAATATTTTCTATAATTGTGTGAATTTGTGAGATAAAGGGGCATAATTCATAATAAAACTTGGACTATTTTTGACAGAAAATGTAAATGATCTAATCGAATTTCCACGGTGTACATACAGTGTGTGTTTAAGTCTGTGCAGTCTATTCCGGGAAGTGAAAACCTGTGGAATCTTTATCAATTAGTGATAGGCAGACAGGAAATGTTCTCCGGCTGTGGTTCTCAAACTGGGGTTAATGTTGCCATTTCTAGGGGTTAACGAGAAACCTTTTAGAGGTAACAGTTCTGATATTCTGATAAAGTACCACGTTTATCATTGATATTGCAGTAATGTTGTCAATTATCAATGAATTATTCAAAGAAATATATTTTTTTTTGTAATAAAATAAACAATATTTATTTTTTTATTATTTTTTTCTCGAAGGAACATCGCAAGTCTTTACATCTTGGGAAAAGATACCTATAAAATATATTAGAATTTAATCATTGCATTATTTTTCTCTCCTTAAACTTCACAAATCTGGAGAGGAATGGGCCTGGGATCATGGTGATCTATAAAACACTGTTAGGAGATAATGATAGTTCACGAGCCACTACCCTAAGACATGTTCGTACTCAATATCATTAATAATTAGAAAATAATGAGTAATAATAATGATTAGTAAATCCACGCGCCTTTTTATTCGTTAATTGTTTATCACTTATCGATCTCATTTCATTATCATCACCATTATAATCATCATCGTCATCCACATCATCATTGTAATAATTTTTATTATCATCTTTATCACTATCATGATAGTTATTATAATCTTATAGCATTATAATTCTTATTATTATCATTATCATTATTTGTTCATCATTTGTTGTTTTGTTGTTATTATTATTATTATTATTATTATTATTGTTATTATTATTATTATTGTTGTTGTTGTTGTTATTAGTATAATTGTTATTATTATTATTATCATTTTTATTATGATTATGATTATTATTATTATTATTGCTGTTATTATTATTACAAGTTTTATTTTTAGTATTACTGAAACAATTTTGTTGTTTTCACTGTGGGAATAATAATTAGTCGAAACTACTTATATAACTATAATTGAATCATTGTTTACATTATTTCTTTAATCTAGTTTATGAATTATAGCAGTTCGTGTTATTAATAAACGAAGTGCTTTTTTCCAGTTTGTCGAATAGACACAATTAGTCTTTCATTGTAGTTGATTTCATGTATGCATTATTGTTGAAGAATGGAACAAGTATAGTGGTAAAAATATTAATATGAAAAAAAAGTTGAAAAGGTAATAGAGAATTATGCAGTGGTCGTTAAACTCATATTAATGGTAAAGATAATAATCATAATAACAATTATGGCAAGAATAATAGTGACAGTCTTAAAATAATTACAATTACTTGCTATAATGACAACTTAATGACAGTAACACCGGCGGTAATATCAAAATAATAATAAAATTGATAATGATATCATAATGATAGTAAAGATCGAGCTAGATATATGGTAATAATAATCACAGTAATAATAATAGTGCCTTATTAATACACCATCATCTGAAACGCAATCAACAAATATCCCGGCATCTGAAGGTGTAAATAACAACAACCCCGGCAAAAGTGATACCCAAAACAACAACAACAAGTCCAAACTAACCGAGAGAAAGAAGCAGCAACAAGTAATCCAATAGACGAAACTATGAGCTTTCTGCACGTGACAAAGGTATGCATTGAATGAATAAGGATTCGGTTGATCGTCTTGCTGGGAAAGAGAAGAATGGTGATGGAATGAAGAGGGTGAGCGAAGAGAGGTGATAAAGAAGGAATGAAGAGGGTGAGAGGAGAGAGATGATAAAGAAAGAATGAAGAGGATGAGAGGAGAGAGATGATAAAAAAAGGAATGAGAGAAGAGAAGTTGTAAGGGGAAGAGACGAGAGAAGAGAGGTGAAACATAGAAGGGAGGAGAGAGGAGATTCTAGTCTTGAAGAGATGAGAGAAAAGATGTGATAAAAGAGAAGGGACGAGAGTAGAAAAAATGATAAACCCTGAGGACGAGAAAAGAAATGTGAGAAACGGAAGATACGAGAGAAGAGAATCACTCGAAACGATGGATTTTTTTTTCTTTTTTTATGGAATGTTTTTTTTTTTTTAACATATTCGCGTGAATGTACGGAACTCACATGGAAATAGCGAGGTCTATTCTCTACAGGGCAAGAATTTGATGATATCCAATAAAGTGGATGAGATCTGAATATATTAAACGCTATATTATATGAAGGTTTCCATAAAAAAAAGAAAAACAGGATCCTGAGTAGGCGATAAGCCCATAGCAACCGCCATGACCTTATATAGAGGCTGATGACGTCATGGTCTGACTTTCGCAGCACGTCTGGGTTTTATGCTTAATACTTAGAATATACAGATACGAACGCATACATTCTTACATTCTTACATTCTTATATATACATTTAGACATGCGCCATGAAATAAACAAAGGGACAGAGAGAGGTAATAATAGTTTCACCAACCCTAATTATTAAGAAAATGCATATATAATTAGACCACCGTTTCAATATATTATCCGTAACGGACGGGAACAAAAACTCATCTGCTCCATTGTCTTCTTACACACCGAGCTCCCTTCTGCTATGCATTTTAAGCATGGGGCTATATAATCTCGATTGCTATAGATATTTTGAAAAGGTCTCCATGTGATTAAATGTCTATAGCTGCTGATAGACAGATAATCAAGTCTTCACACGACCTTTCAGATCAACCAGTTGCGCCGGGTAAAGGTGAACTGCGCGCCGTTCGTGAAAATGTGTGGATAGATTCAGCCACTTGGACGTGATTTAATAATGCACCGTCCGTTTTACGCGTATTTAAATGGATAGATATTCCTCATGTTTCACCAATCTGTGCATGACTTCATTCCATCGGCCCACATATTGACATGCACTTGGCCTCCTTTTGCATAATGGGACATCATGAGCATAATCCCACGAGTAAGTAAAATTGAATAAATCTGATGTGCCTCTATCTAATTAATAAAAGAATATCTACCAGGTGTATATTGTAGTATACACATGGTCCTTTAGTTTAATTGATTTGGCTCAAGGATATTCTACTGAACAGACGGATATTTTAGCTCTCGGAAATCGTAATCAACGTTTCAACATTGCGAGTGCGTAATTAACATTTCAGATCAAGGAAAGCATAAAATAAGTACAAGATAACGTTGTTAGATGATTTAACAAGCTACCCATTGATGGTTCTCTACTTCGAACCTTTGATCAATTGCCAATGCCGGTTCGACTCAGCTCGAAACTATGCGGGTGTTATTGTTTTTTTTTCTTTGTTTAAGGACCGAAGTGAATCTCTTTTTTTGCGGCATCTTTTAGGTTATTCAGGTAAATGACTGCCGCGTTTTGTAAGATCATAAGTCACTGTTCTGGATTGAAAGACGTGCATCTGACATCATCTTTCGCTTAAAAGACAAGGGATGTTCCTTTGTCTTAAGCGTTTCTCAATTTCTTTGTTATTTGGAGGACAAATCTTTTACTTTTATATGGTATAGAGATATCCCACATGATATAAACATACCGTACGTACCTTTCGAAATTTAAATTCATTGTAGTAATTCCCTTGTTAAATACTTTTTTTTAGGCTGAAGGATCTCCGGGTGAGTGATAATGCTGGTATTTACACCTTAAGCCATGTGAGGAGATGAGCACGAGGCAAGTCATCCACACTTAATACCCTTCACCTTAAACTTACCACGAACATCTCTCTTTTTTTTATCTATCATAACTTCCAAATTCGCTTCGTGACGTAAAATAACACGCTTATTACAAGTCACCTCCAGTAGATTAATTTATAACGATGTGTTTGGGATGCCTAGAACCCCAGCAATTGCAGAGCTAGTGATGGCATTCACCCTCCAAGTGTTCGCGCTGCTCATCTCACTCCTCATATAACACGTGTGCCACCTGCAGCAAGCGGAGCCCTCGCCGACGTCACTGATCACCGGAATTCATTGTGATTAATCCCTCTTGCTGACGATGCTGCCGATGCGTTGGAGTTGGTAGCTCTATGGGTGGTTACGTTCTTGCTTCATGCACACGAATATGTATGCTAATAAACACACACACACGCACACACACACACACACACACACACACACACACACACACACACACACACACACACACACACACACACACACACACACACACACACACACACCTAGCACTAACAGATACATACAATTAGTTCCCCTCTTTCTCTTTCTCTCTCTCCTTCTCTTTCTCTTTCTCTTTCACACCCTTTCTCCCTCCCTTTCTCTCTCTCTCTCTCTCTCTCTCTCTCTCTCTCTCTCCTCTCTCTCTCTCTCTCTCTCTCTCTCTCTCTCTCTCTCTCTCTCTCTCTCT